GTTTTTCTTTTCATTTTTTAATGTTTTAATTATAAATGTACTATTTTACCCCTCCCCATTTGGTCAACATAAGTCAAACTCCACTATTTTGGTCAAACTAACGGTCAAATGGATGGTTTCCATCCATTGGACCTCCGATGCATATTTTTGAAAGGTTTGGGACCTTCCTTGGTACAAATCAAATGTTAGGGTAANCTGCAATTATCCCTTTTTTTTTTATGAATCATTACTTATAGAATACACTTTTTTTGTCATTTTATGTACAAGAGTTTTGCACTTCAAATTTAACTCACTCTCTATTTTTATTGTACAATAATTACATTTAATAAATCACATATTTCAATATTCTACTTCTTAAATTATTCAACTCACATTTAAATTGATTAGTAAATTAACATATAAATAGAATAATGTTATTTACTCGGGGTTACAACTTCAATCTAGGTGACATTAATGTGTGACATTAAATTATATGTGAAATTAAGCCCCCGTTTGACATACATTTTTAAAAAATATATTCTTTCTAAACTCATTTTCAATCACACATTTTTCAATAAAATAATATTTTCCATCACATCAATATCTTTTCGACTTTTCTTTACTTTTTAATTACATATTTCTCATCATATCACAATTTAAAATACATTTTTTTCTCAATAATATTCATCAAACACACTCTAAATAAGTCATTTAATTTCATATTTCATTTAGTCTATCATCTAACGCTACCTAAACAAACAGACAATAAGCCTTTTCTGACCAAATCTCTTTGTCACACACACCATAACAATAAAATTAAGGACATATCCGACAAAGAATCACAAAGTTAACAGAACCTTCAGATTTAACTTCCAAAAGAAAACCTAACAAGAATTATATCAGGGTTTAAAATAATTGGGCTGGAAAATTGTTTCCTTCTGACCAATTAACTTACTTTCCAAGAATTATATCAACAAAGAATTCTGAATTAGACCCAAGTTGCCTCAATCCATGATATAAATTTGTTTTACCTATTATTTTATTAAATAATTTGTGGTTGAAAAAAAAAATGTATTTTAAAAATAATGAATTATAATAAAACCAATGTAAAAGATTCTTTGAAGGGATGGTCATTTATCATCATTTTTTAGCCTTATTAAGTACACGCCATGTTATCCATTTGTTCACCTAAACTCATGCTAAAGATGACTATTCAGCACAGTTTACACAATGGCATTCTTCAATTGAGTGAATATTGTGTATAATTCTAAGTTCTATTAAGTTAATTCATATAATAACCATATAAAACAAAAAAGAAATTAAAAGAAGATTTTCCAACTTTGATTTTCTCCGATAAATCGAGGAAGTTGAATTTAACTTTTTCCTGCATTTTAAAATCCAATCCGACGTTGAATTGAAAAATATGAAGATTGTATTTTTCCAACTAAAACTTTTTCCCGCATTTCCCGTATGATACAAACGATCAAATTTTTCCAACTTTGTCATTGTGGGCATTCATTGGTGGTGATTGCAAGTGGGCAAAATTTCAAAAATGCTAGATGTAAATATGTAATGACAGTCCCCTCACATTGGGAGTGGGACCCCACCCCAATTTGAGGGGATTGTCAACCCACTCAGGTTAATTCGCAAATTATTTGTCCGAAAATTTGACTGTTGGGCTATTTTGTGGGGGAAGAAAAGCAAGAGCAGAAGACGAGAGAGAGACCTTTTCTAATCTCTACTTTATCCATCTAAAGACAAAAAATGAAGCCGGCAATTCTCGTACCACTGGCGATGATCCCACTGAAGATGATGAAGACGACGAAGAAGCGCGGCGGATGAGGAGCTCAAGTGCGACTGTTCACAAACGGGTTTCACGTCTTTATATTTTTCAATTCAAAGAAGCGTTTATCCTTTTCTGATCTTTATCTGTTGCTTTCGAATAGAAAATTATTATTCAGAGCTGTGCTTGTGTTGAATTCTTCCATTGATTCATGAACAAGTTGCTTCGGTTTTCAGCTTCTGTGCTCCAAGATTGAGCTTTTTTTTTTTTGGTTCATCTTATGGAATTAATTGATGATTGTGGGTTTTTAGTCTAGAATTCTTGTTAGATTTTTCCGTTCTCAATTTATCTTCAGATTCGATTGATTTTCTTGACTTCGGGTTTTTCCGTCAGTAGACAAAAAGAAAGAACACTTCTGTTCTCCTGAATCGGAAATGGGATACTCTGAGAAAAACTATGAGATGTGCACTGTATCCCCAAAACAAAATCTCTAGCTAAAGTTTATCTTCTTCTATCAATGAAGAAAAACTCACTCCCTCAATCCCAAGGGGTGAAATCCCTCAGTAGTAGATGATGATTTTTTTATAAATGAAGCGAAGATTGGGTAGTTTAGTTTAAGGGGTGCCTGAGAATTCATTTCTTGATAGGATTTAATGTTATTTGTGTCATTGGACTTCCAGTTGTGGAATAAAGGGACTTACTTGATTTAATAGAAGACACAGGTGTGTGAATACATATACATGTAGCTTGGAAGGATTTTTCACTAAATTTTGTGATGGATTCAAATACGGAAAATAGGGAGGGTATCTGTTTGTCTAGACTGGAGTGCATATTGGAAATAATTAGGTCCCTAATAATGGGGTCCTGCTCGTCCAGTGAGACCAGGAGTCTGCTACCTGGTTCTCCGTTGGGAGTAACGAAGAGGAAGGGCTCCAGAAGTAGGCTAAGGTCTCCAAATCCGTCCTTTGGGAGGTAGTTTTCCCAGAATTGCAGCTGCACTTGCTTGATAATTAGCTATATATCTGGAATGGATGGATATATATCTCGAATTGTTAATTCTTGTGATTTCTCCCGGATCCATCACCTTTCTTTCAACTTTGCATTTGTGTTTCATCAACAGAACGGACCGAGTTTCTGTGGGCCTTTCTTACATATATGTCTGGTTACTGGTAAATAAGTGTACCATTTTAATTATTGATATATGAAAATAATGTTTTCTTCGGATAATGTTTTCTACATATATGCAATCATTCATTAGTTTTCTTCGGATAATGTTTTCTTCATTCTTATTGCTTCGTCCAATGATATATATTTTTTATGGCATGGCAGTTATCAAAGTTAGGTTATGGTTGTATGCAGCTTAGTGGAAACTACAATGTTCCTGTTCCTGACGAGGAAGGAATATCAATAATCAAAGAGGCATTTAGTAAAGGCATTATATTTTTTTTGACACATCCGATATTTATGGTGTGAACAATGCCAATGAATACTTGGTCGGAAAGGTAATTTCTAGGACAACTATTCCAGATTATAGCAGCACACTTGAATTTATATGTTGTGGCAACATACTTTTCTTCTTTAGTGGTTGTAAGATGATGGGAACGACATATTCATATTCCAGTGCATCAAGTAGAACAAACATGAAAGTTGAAAGCATCATATATTCTGCTTTTTCTTAAATTCTAATTCCAATTGCTTCATTTGAATAAATTGGAGCATAAGTAGGTAGTAGTAGTACACACACATTGAAGCCTCGGAGTTGAAAGTTGAAAGCATTCCGCTGAACTATATATCGTGCTTTTGAAAAGACGCAGTTGTACTGACAAAAAGTTGGGCCGCATTATGCATGTCTTTGTGTGAGGAAATTTTAAGGAATTAATCTAAGTGTACAATATTCTTTGATAACAATGATTGACAATCATGTATTGTCAAAATCTTAGTATATGATGTAGAAAATAATTTTTTTTTAAATAGATGGATATGATGATATCAAATAAGATATTGTCAACCAATATTGTACGTGTAGCATGATTCATTGTCAAAATTTGGATCACTAATTTTAAAAATAATTTTTAAATTGATGAATGTGATGTTGAAAGTATAAATTGCCAGCGAAGATTGTAAAAAAAATTGTACAATTAACATGATTGATGTTATTTTATTGGTACCGTGACATCTGAAATTATGTATGTAAAATCATTCTTACTACGTGTATATCTTGGTTTACACCTTGGCTTATCGAATGTATACTTTACACAATCACATACATTTAATCCAATAATTATAATACTTCAATGTCGTCAATTTGTTAATCAAGATATACAAATAGTTTAATCCATGTAAAATACTCGTTAAGACGGGAAGGCACATTAAAATATTTGGAAGTATTAACAACAATCAAAAAGTCCAATTTGGGGAAACAAATTTAGCTTTGCAGAGAAGGGAGTACTCCAATTTGCTAATCCTCTATAATAACCCCTTTTTTTGCAATTAGTGTCCTAGGGATATTTTATGGACAAAAATATATATATATATATATATATACACTAGTGGATGCACGTGCCTTGCACATGTAGCGGGTGGTGCAGTGTGAATGACAATGGTGAAATTTGGTTATGTGGGATTTCAATGAAGAATGGAACCTGTTTGAAGGAAGGAAAATTACATTAGATTATATTAAATGTGTTAACATGTTCAATAGAGGTGCTCGGGGTCAAGTGGTGGATTGTGGCTGGAAGGTTGCAAAAGGGATTCAAAATACATGTTTTCAACTCTTGGGCTACTACTACTCCTCCTGCTTTTGCTTTTTGTTTGCATGTATGGGAACTTCTTGTATGAACAGTGTCTGGATTATTGAGCTTCCTCTTTGTGTAGTGGCTGCATCTGTAAGTTGAGATCTTTGTGAAGTGTTCTCTTGTACCATGTTGGTAGTTAGTTGGTCTTGATTTTGAAGCTGAGTCAAGGATAAAAATGACTTCATATGGGGCCTTGTTGGTTGTTGCTTCTGCATTTATGATTTTGATGTATATGATGTGCTCATGTGTAGTTGTTGTCTGAATTGTAGAGTTGTTCTCTGTGTGTTCCTATTGGAATGCTTATTAGGAGGAGTTAACACTATATATAAGGGGGAAAGAAAGAAGGAATGTAGAAAAATTTAATGTTTAGATAGGTACCTCAACAGTGTGTTTCATAAGTTCTTTTGCTGGGCATTTCAGGAATGTTTCAGTTGGATTTCCAATTATTGATGCTGTGATTGAGCCTGTTGGAATGTTATAGTAAGATTGTATAAGAGAAGAAAGGAAATAATTTTAATGTAAGAGAAATTTTCTTAGCAATTGAAAATGTGTATTGACGTGGAATGGTAATCTTAAATTAAATAGAGTAGCAGTGTGATTTGTGCTCTAATGCAGGAGTAGGATAGGATATAATGAGTTCTAACTAACCTCATTAATCGTAACTCATTAGCATTGTTAATAGATTTGATATTATTTTTCGTTTCAGTTTGTTTTTGTGTCTGTAAGGTAATTTTTAAAAGAAGAGTGTTCTGATCTCAGATTTGAATCCTGTTTTTTCCTAGTTTGGCTTCCCAAATTTCTTAGGTAAATCTTGGTATCTAAGTGTTAAATGTATGTTCTTCTTTAAATGTGACTTTGATAGAGAGAACTAAAGCATGGAAGGAAGAGGCTTGTATAAACTCGGAAACTTGGGTGAAAGTTGCTTTTGGTTCTGGAAATAGATTTACTCTTTCTACTGTTGACATATCCCTGGTTTGAATTAGAAAAAATGATAATCAAATGTTTAAAGTAAGGGTTTTGATTTGTTGTGGATGTAAGTTTCAAATAAAGNNNNTGATTTATTGTGGATCTAAGTTTAAAATAATGGAACTTAAACTATATGAGATGATTTACCGTAGGATCCATTAACCATATGTGTTGGTATTTCAATGCGCTGTTCAGAGCTTTGTTGGGAGAGCATTTTTCTGACACTATTGTTTTTATAGTCCAGCCAGATTGTCCTGGTTTGATGTCAGGTATGAGTTTGTATTCTGTGGCCATCTCTATCTGCAATGAATTCTATTTGATTAGTAGATGAGAATGGTTAGAAATAGAAGAGTTAAAATGGAACGTAAATATTGAAAAATATATGAGATGATGTTTTTCAAAATGTTTGCAGTTAATTATGTTGTTGGGTGAAAGAGAGGAAATTACCAGGTTAAAGTTGACAATGAGGAAATGAAGTTGGAGATGATAAGCTGCGGGAAGGTGTGATGTTGTGTGTTATATGTTGAGAGGTGGTAGTGGAAAGAGATGATTGAAGTTTACAATGAGTAGTATGAAAGTTAGATTTTTATTTTCAATATAGATTGAAAAATGTTGTGGCAGGCAAGAATTTTTGGTCACTATTATAAGCAAAAGTTTGTAGTGAATGGCGGTTGGAAGTGGGTTGCCAGATGGTGTTGGTGGTTTTTTGCGATGAATGTATGAAGGTGAAGAAAATAAACTGGGTAGAAGTTTTTAATGGTGTTTTGTATGTTGAGAGATGAGAAATTGTAGTGGGTGGAAATGATGAAAATTTAGAATGAGTGCAGTGAAAGTGGGACTTCTATTTTCAATGCAGACTGGAAACATTTTAATGGCAGGCAAAAAAATTTGTTTACTGGGAAGTGGGTTGTCAGGGGTGATTATGTGGTTTTTGGCAAGGGATAGTTGTTGTGTTCATGAAATTAGTGGTTTGTAGTGATGTAAAAAGAATTTTGAATTTTTTTTATGTAGGTGAAGAATAAGAATTGGATTCTAATGCAAGAAAAAAATTGTAACGGTGCATGTTTTCATCTAATGAAGGGGATAAACCTGCAACTTTAATACACATAAGAATAAACGAAGCTATTTTCTCGATTCGGCAAAATTCTTCTTGCTGTTTTAATTTATTTAAAAATATGTTTCTTGCTGTTTTAATTTATTTAAAAATATGGATATAGTGAACGTTATGACTTAAAAAAATTGAAGCAAAAGAATTTCATAACCTTCATCCCAAGAATTTGAATCCACTCCACGGCAGTTTCAGTGGCTTTTGATAAAAACTCTCTTAAGGTCTCCTCGGCAATGGACAAAATTCTGAAAAAAATACAATTACATTATGTTAATTATAAGAACAATAGAGTAATAGAAGTAATGAAAAAGAAATTCAGAGTTGGAAGTGGGCAGAGGCAAACACCTGAGTAGAGTCTTCTTCGATATCCACACTCCTTGTTTTTCAAGATTAGTTAATTTCTTTTTCTTTTTGTTTCAATGGAGATGTTGAAGAAAAAGAAATGGGGAAATCCTTAAATGACGTCTAGAATAAACTATGCCTAAAGTTAGCCTCTTTTATGTAAAATCAAGTAACTTAACTTGTGGAAAAATTCAAGGATTGAATAGCTATTTATACTTCCGCTAGGAGAACCTTTTCTAAGAGAAATGATAGAGTTTGTTAACTACTTTCTTTAGGTGAGAGAATTCCTATTTAAGTGCATAGGCTATGCTTTGTAGGAAAACGAACTTTGGGTTCTGACTCGAATCTATTTTTTGCTGAAAATAGGCGAGTATTAGAAATTCCTCTCAAAACAAGGACATGCTTTCTGCATGTCAATATTTATACAAGAAAAACTCTCCATAGGTAGAAAGGTTTTAACAATCAAGACATATTTCATCAAGGAAACTCGAAAAATCGAAAAAGCAGAGATTAGCAAAGATGGTCACCAACTAACAATAAATATCCTATACTGTTTGTTATGCAATATTTTGCTATTTTGGTTCATTTACTATGGTAGTGATAAAGCTACAGTTTCCAAAAAGAAATTTACAGGCTGTATAAACAAGTTGGGAGCGAGAATAACCTTGATTCCCAAGGTATGCCACTTTTCCAGAGCTTTAGGTACATCATCAAACAAGACTAATTCTATCTAATTTCTCTGAAATCCCGTACGCCATATGTGACCCTGCACAAGAGGAAATTAAAATTAAGAGTTTACAAAGGTTAAATGCTATTCTTCTGGAACTTTCCCACAATGAAAGAGAAACCGTTTGTTTCAAAATTACTTGAACGACGTAATTTTGAGGTCAGATTTAATCATTGCCTCCACATTAGCAACCAAAGCTGCAATCGCCTTCTCTTTCCCTCCATCAGAGAGAATGGGAACTGCACCAACAATACCATTTTCTAGATCTTCTTGAACGTGGAAGACGAAAATCCATAAGAAATGCAATCTTTGACCATCTAGCAAGAGGAATTGCTCCATGAATAATATATTTTGACAGATTTTTTTCTAGCACATATTATCTCTTGTTTATCCAGAACACAAAATCGTAAATCCAATTCCAACTGAACTTAATAACCCAAATCTACATAAAGCCATGGTCAAATACTCCCAAGAAAATAAGTTCCAGCAATCAGAATTTTAGTCTTGCTCTCAACACAACGAAAACACTTAGGAAGATTCAATTTTCGTGTAGTTTGTAACGCTAAATAAAGCATAATGAAATTTCTATTCATTCCCACTCTTCAAGCATAACCCATTTATCAAATCACAAGAAGTTCCTTATAACAGCAGCAATAAACAATATTTTCATCCCCCCATTCTCAAATCAGGGAAAACCCCTCAAACCAACACTTACATTTCATAAGTTAACACATCAACGTGTTCATAATTTCATTAGTCACCACCAGAATCAGTGGGTAATTTGTGCAGAGAAACAATTTCTTAACTTGCAGAAATGACAAACTT